TCCAGCATGGCTAGGCATGACAAGTGTGCCCATACTTGTCTGGCACATGCACATCGTAGAACTTTATTCATTTTAAACCTAATGTGATGCATGAGTTAATGCCTCCTCTTTTTCAAAATAATAATTCCTCCACATATCAGTTTACTATGTTCTTGTCTTTCATATTATGCAAAATAGCGCAATGGGCTAACATGTATATTGTTAGACAGGAATAAACACATAAATAACCATATCCTCACATCTGGAGTTTCAGAAAACTGCAAAACCCCATCTACATACTCATGTCCTGTCTAATGATCATAGAGGAAGAAAATGATGTCAGAATCCTAGGTTGGTAGTGACGAACGGAGCTAAGAAGAAGATGAGAAGTGGAGAAGAACTGTCATTTCCTTGTCTATGTAGAAAGGTATTGAGGTAAAGCTACAATTCTTCCAGCATATTGCACTTTCCTTTTGTAGAAAGCATAAGCAACTCAGTCCTACCTTGTAACGTTTATGAATTCAAAATAATTTAAAGCTTTAATCAAAGTATGAAGAAGAATGCCCTTTTACTTCTACAGCCATCCTGAAAAGTTGTATGTAACTAATCCCCATCTAAACTGAGTATAAATGAAGCTGTATCATATCCCTGTTCCTGTATGTGGTGGGTTAAATTGCTCTATACAACCAAATCCTAATACCTTGTAATAAACCGAGCAGTTAAAAGTTACAGTTCCAATTCCTAAATCCTAATCACCTGGAGTGGGTCTCAAGACTGTTAATTCATAAATTCTAATCAACCAAAGTGGAGATAGATTAATGAATTTGAGGTTAATTTTGATGATCAAGAGATCTAATCTTAGCTTTTAAATCAATTTTGATGATCAAGAGACCTAATCTTAGCTTTTCATATATAATGAACATATTCATGAACTCCTTCGTATCACACAAACTTTATATATATTTTAATATTATCTGCTTTTCTCATATCCGTTTCATATCCGCAATTTAGCTGTATATCCACTTATATATCCGCAAGTATATTTGTATCCCTATCCGAATTTAGCGGATATGGATATCAATTTTCCTTAACAAGGCATATTCAAATCCGAATCTTTATCCATATCCGTGCTTGATAAGAGAATACAAATTTGTAAGTATCATATTTAAGCCATATCCAAACCACGTGCACCCCTAATGACAAGTCTTGGAGCTAGATACATTAGTGTCTACCATTTGGCTCTTTTAAGGTAATTTCATTGCTTAAACTAATAAGGGGAAATGAAAGATGGAGTACAAGGGGGTGAATAAGAAGGATAAGACTGAGATGAGGGAGCAAACATCTAGCATTAAGTATATGTAATCAATAACTAAGTTGAGAGGAGTACAATGGGGTGAATGAGAAGGATATGACTGAGACAAGGGAGCAAGCCTCTAGCATTAAGTATATGTAGTTGATGACTAGAATGACAGTCTTGATTTTTAGTTTCATTTTGGCCCCCTCAAAATAGTCCATCATATGTTTTGTGTTTGTAAGATTTTAAGGAGGTAAAACAAAAATTAACTACTTCAAGCAAATCCAACGATTTGCAGGCGAATCTGAATTAGAGAAGGCATGACTTTCCTATCCTCAACCAACACAAACTCTGCTCAGGCTTATACTGGACCTATCCCTAATTAAAATTAATGTAGATTTCAAAACCTATAAGCCCAAACTCAAAATCTAGGTCCAGCATGGACAAGTTCCAAGTCAGTCAGAGTTGCATTCCATCATGAATAAACAAGGTAAATAAACTACTTAATGTTTTAGATCTCATATATGATACTTCCTATGAAGCGCACATTATGACTTAAGCTGAATTTTTTTCTCATCATGATCGACATCCACAACAATTCTCTCAGGTCAACTTTATAAGGACTCAAACCTTGGAAATCGTATGCCATGATTACAGTTAGATTGCAAAGGACCAAATCAGGATGTAAAATCTCCCAAATGGACAACAATTTACTGTTTCAAGTTCTGAACAAAGCAAGCATTGTTACAAACAAAGTTATTGTTTAGAGTAAAATGCAAGTTTAGATTCTTTAGAATGAAAAAAATAAAATATATAAGAAAAATGTTATATACATACATACATACATACATATATATACATACATACATACATATACACATACATGTATATGTATGTATGTATGTATGTATGTATGTATGTTATATATATACATACATACATACATGTATATGTATGTATGTATGTATGTATGTATGTATGTATGTATGTATGTATGTATGTAAGTATATATATATACATACATACATACATACATATACACATATATAAATATATATACACACATACACACACACACACACATATTGAAGTTCATGCAGAACTTATGGATTTCTGCATATGCTCTAGTTACTAATTTTAAATTATCAACACAAATCCATTCATTAATAAAACCAAAACAATCTTACAAAGAAAAGCTCCAAGGATCAAGTTTGCTGACTATTGTATGCTAATGTTTAACTTTAACAAAGAGAGTTCAAGGACTTACCTCAGCACATTTTTTCGGAAGCACCAAACGTCCAATACGACCAGCGTCACTGGCACTTAGCATCTTCTCAAACAATGGTGTGATAACAGAATTTGAACTTAAATATGGTTAGGGATAGAATGAGGTAATTAGAACAGACAACAAAAAATTTAAAACCCCACTCCAAGCTGCTGGTGAGGCCAATCAACTTCTGAAATTTGTAACTATAATACCAACTTACTAAGCAACATAATAATGTAATAAATCCTTCCCCTCCATTCTGTTACAGGAGAAATTTGGATTCTAACTAATCTTATTAAACAAAAAGATACCGATCATGAAAATGGTAGCATAAAAAAAGGATACTCTCCATTTATCTGTTTTAGTTCTTGATCCGTAATCCTAGGCCAATAACGAGGAAGTAGTTGTGTTCGTGTCCGGGCATCCACTCGAGATCTTCCGCTGCGCACTTCAACAGAATTATCATTCAGATTGTGAGGATTAGAGGAGAGTTGTTTTGGAATTGGAGGAGGCATTTGCCGTTGTGACTGAGTCATTGAGGCTCTTCCTGGGCCATTGGAGCCATTTGGTGATGAAAAAGAAGCGGCCAAGCCAAGTAGAGGTGATGACTCTCCCTTTAAAATGGTTGATTGTAATGGCTTTGCATATGAATTTGGCCGCGACTCAAAATTAACTCCAGACGTACTTGCAGAACAAGGATCAGTGACCACACCTTTTCGTGAAGATCCTAGATCATTATCTCCTAAATGGTGGCCAGAATCTTGCAAAACATTTCCTTCTTCTCTATACATGTTAAATACAGAAGCTGCATCCAAACCAGCCACAGTTCCATTACGCAAAACATGATTCCCAGGCGTTAGTCTCTCAGATGGCTCTGCAACCTTTTTGTCCTGTGCAGATATAGAAGCTCGAACTCCTGCAATCAGTCTTTCACTATGAAGAGGTCTATCAAATTCATATGATAGTCGTTGCTGCAAATCAGACTGGATTCCAGTGCTCCACAAATGTGGCCCTTGCCGCCACTGGCTAGGAAATGAACCAGTCATTTGGTGCCAACTCTTTCCAGCATGTTCTTTTGGCCTCTCAGAGACTTGTGAGGACAGAATCAAAGAAGGAGACCACATACTATTTGGTGTCTGGAAACAAAATCCATGCATGAAAAGTCAATTACGGAATCAAAACTGAGCATCCATTTTTAAAAGAAAAACATTCACATCAACTTTTGATTATGCAGGACAGAGATGAACCCAGATGACGAATACATGTATCAACCAGTGGAAAAGAACAAGCTAAGAAAAATGAATTCGTGAATCCACAAACTGATGCTGAAAAAAATAATAGTGAATCTACACACTTGAAACAAGAGGAGTTAATGTTCTTTTCCAAAATGATAACAAGGGAAACAAAGGAAGAAGACATGAGAAATTAAGTTTACCCACTCATCAAAGGACAGCTTGCTTCTGGCGACACACAATAAAGAACAGTAAGCTATTTAAAAATTTATATGGCATATAAATGGGCACATTTAAATACCATACATACAGTTAAATCTATTTAATACAAGAATTACAAATTTATAATTGTGTGCTTAATCAAAAGGTCATGCCAAATCAAGTTGACTTCAAAGGATCAACTACTGCCTACATATAAAGAAGTAGATTTGGTTGATCCAATGTTTGAACATGGAGTTAATCCTTCTAGTGCGGATGCAAGGTTTAAAATCTCAATATTGGTGTTGACATCAATTTGGAGTTCCAACAGTAGCAACACCTAGCATGGGGAAAGGGTCTAACAGGGATAGCAGCTACGAAATTAACATATTATTTCTTATTTAGAAAAAACTGCAAGCTGGGACATCACCCAAATCAACTAACATAGTTAGATGACTAAACCAGTTTATTAAATTGCAAGCATATCTTATCTTGATAACCCAAGCGATTTTCACTTACAGACCAACAGACCATGATTTGCATTCTGGGTTCAAATACCCACAAAACCTAACCCCATTAGCCCAAATGCTTCTTGCTGTTTCCTATGAAAACCCATTAAAAAACCCAATCCACAATAAACCAAAGCCAGACTTACTACGTCTTCATATTGGACTCCAAAAGGTTCAGATATAACCCCCCCCCCAACCCCCCCACACCCCACCCAAAAAAAAAACAGTTAAGAGAAGAAAGACCTGCCTATCATATCCAACAGAACAGAAGATCCTTCTGTTTAATGTTGCAATCCACCATCGCATGTACCTTGAGATTTAGATTGCCCAAGAATTTCCATGTTTGTGATCGTGAGTTAATAGAACTCACACTTAGAAATTGTAGGCCTCTTTCAAGATTTTACTAAAGCTAGGTGATCTTCTGTCCTGTACTTCTTTAATAAAGTTTCACTGAACCATCAAATTTGAGTTCATGGGGGTACACATGAGATAAGTTGTGTAAATACATGGTTTTTGTAGTTGATTTCCTGCGAAGTGATAATTAATACACTTTGTTTTAATAGTTCATGGGGGTACAACCATGGTGCCTTCATCTCCCCTAAGTCAGATACCCCCCCACCCACCCACCCACTC